CCAGTTTAAGCGTTGGCGACACGCCTGCCATGACACCGGGCTCTCTCGAAAACGCCTCGCTGACTATATGGACTACCCACCTCACCACCCTCGAGTCGATAGCTGACGAGCACGAGAAATACGCAAACGAACTGATTCAAAAGGTCGCCGACCCTATGAAGTACTTTGCTGGCAGGTTCGAGGAGTTGCGCAAGCGTCACGTTGAATATGCTACCAAGCTAGAGGCCGAGAGGGATTCTTCGTATGCTGAACTGCGCAAGACTAAGACCAAGTATGATGCCGCGTGCCAGGAGGTGGAGAGCAAGCGGAAGAAGACGGAGTCCTCTTTCGACAAGGCGAAAGCCCAGAGCCAGTACCAACAACAGTTACAGGACATGAACAATGTCAAGAACACGTACTTGATAGCCATCAACGTCACGAATAAGCAAAAGGAGAAATATTATCACGAATACGTCCCCGAAGTGTTAGACAACCTGCAGGATCTCTCGGAATTCCGGACTTTGAAACTAAACGGGTTATGGTCTACAGCAGCAAGCTTAGAGACGGCCATGCTACTGCAGAGTAATAGTCTTGTCGACCACTTAGCCCAGGAGATCACCCGAAATCAACCCCATTTAGATTCCATGATGTACATCCGACATAACATGGGTTCGTGGCAGGAACCATCTGACAGGGCGTTCGAACCCAGCCCTGTATGGCACGACGATGACCTCATGATCACCGACGAAGCCGCCAAGGTATTCTTGCGCAACGTATTAAACAAATCCAAAGGCCAGCTAGGAGACCTTCGGCGAGAAGTCGACAAGAAGAGGAGAGAAATCGAGGGAGTTAAACGTGTTAAGCAGAGGATACGCGAGGGAAAAGAAAACAAGGATGAAGTGCTCGTTGTGTCGCAGATTTTCTCCATGCAGGAAGACTTACACCAAGTCGACCGTAAACGCCTGACAGCAGAAGTGGAAACATCAACCATTACATCAGCAGTCGGAGACGTTACTCTGGGGGCCAAGAACCATAACTTCAAATCGCAGACATTCAAGATCCCAACGAACTGCGACCTTTGCGGTGAACGGATATGGGGGCTGTCGGCGAAAGGCTTCGACTGCAGAGATTGCGGCTATACGTGCCACAGCAAATGCGAAATGAAGGTCCCGGCTGAATGTCCCGGCGAGTTATCTAAAGAGGAACGGAAGAAGTATAAGTCTGAGCGGCAATCTGCAGCAGGATCTCTACTGAAACCTCCCACCGGCCCACCAGATCACGTCGCAGAGTTGCCTACTCTAAGTCGGTCTAATACGATGAATTCTTTAAGCTCTGGATATGCAGCCAGTGCAAACAGATCAATAAGCGGCTCGGTAGTCAGTCCACGCTCGCCTGCCGAAGATACGCCGCCCGAGCCCTCTGGTCCTCGGCCTGCTGTGAAAAAGACGCGCCTTGTCGCGCCGCCGCCCGCCGCCTATATTAGCGAGCTGCCTGGTAGCGCCGTCCCAGCCAAGACTGCCGAACAGAAGGGTAAGATGCTCTATACTTTCGAAGCAAACGGCGACGGCGAAGTCTCCGTTACCGAAGGGCGGGAGGTAGTCGTTCTTGAGCCAGATGGTAAGCTACCTATTTTTGTCTTTAATTCCATTTGACCTTTGCTTATGTGTGTTGTAGATGGGACGGGATGGATAAAGGTCCGAGCTGGTTATAAAGAAGGAATAGTGCCCGCAAGCTATATTGAGGTCTACCCTGCACCTATCGCCCCGCAAGACACGGGTTCCTCATTCAACACCCGTCCCGCATCTACATACTCTAACTCCGGGTCGTCAATCGGCACCACTGGTCCGGCCGTTAAGAAGAAAGGACCAGCTGTAGCCCCTCGCCGTGGAGCCAAGAAACTAAAGTATGTCGTCGCATTGTACGATTATACGGCGCAAAGCGATACCGAACATAGCATGTCAGAAGGCGAGCGATTCGTGTTAATAAAAGAGGACCCAGGAGATGGTTGGGCCGAAGTAGAAAAAGGGGGCGTGACGAAGAGCGTACCGGCAAGCTACGTTCAGGTAGCAACAGATTAGTCTCACGAGTACTCGTGATAAAGGTCGAAAAGAGAATTGAAACCCACCTACCTAACCTACCCTTACCCGGTGACAAACAACACTATTTCAAAATTCGAACCATCAACTCTCGTGTTGACATTAGCCAGACAACGACGGCTCTACCTACCAGTGAGCGATGTTGATGATTCGCCGGTGCCAAATCCGAGGTTTGGCATATAGATATCACACGCGCTGAAGCTTCCAAAGTCAAGTGAAAGTTAACAATACCTAGTCGTTGCAAGAAGTACACGTACGTTGGGTAAGTACGTATCTAGTATATTTCACGCATATTCTCTTCCTCAGTTCCAACAAGCACAGATGTTAGGATGGAATAGGGGGGGGGATAGAATCGGCAGGCTTAAGTGAGGCATGAGTTCCAGCATGGCCGCCCCATCACTTATGCAACTCTAGGTACTTACAGATCCTGGTGCATACGACGAACTTTGCCGGAAGCTCAAGGCTGATCCAAATATCGTGAGACGAAGTAGCACGTTCTATTAGCACTGCAATGACTTGATGCTGACCGCCCCACGACGCTGGTCGGCGAACAATCGGGCAAGCAAAATCGACTATTGATGGTATGTTATTCTTCTCACTTACAAGGCACGCGTATGGATCTGTTCAACTTGCAGCTCTCCTTTAGCGTTGGTCTCCATTCACCGGCCGCTCATTCTCAAGACGAGCTTCTTCCCGGTGGACCATTTCCCATATGACGCGTCACCATCCCCTGGTCTCATGGGGATATCGCAGGACTACCCCTAATGCTACCTGACGCGGCGACATCCTAGCCACTACGCGAAATTACAGGCCGGTAGAGCATAGCAATGCCGGGCCTATTGGTTTTTTTTTTTTTTTTTTTTTTTTCAGATCGTACTATGGTACCTAGTCGCTATACATGATGCGCGCAGGTATTATAACTTTAGCCATAGATAATCATCCGAGACCTACCCTAATCTCTAATTCTTACTCTCTCGGCTACATAACTACCTCCTTGCTTATTCGGTGCTAGGGATGACAGACATCAGCCTCTAAAGCCTGCCCTAGGGAGTAAGTGGTTATAGTCTCGTGGCAAATTGCGAGTACTTAAAAAGACAGATACTATGACACAGGGCTGACAGTTGCCAGCAGATGAGATTATATACCTAGAGGTCGGAGGCCCCCTTATCGCTGTCTTCTTTTGGACCAGGTCTCTCCTTGGTAAGTCCCTTCACGTCAAACTCCACGTTCGTTTCTGCATTCCTACATTCATTCGCTCTATGCCATACCTACAATATGCGTCGGTCTTGTCGTGTGGTTGTCACTGCTTTGGCCGCCTCGTCAAGTGCTGTGTTGCAAGCTGCCTCGCCGGCGAATGGCACTTTACTTGGCATTGACATGATCCCATCGTCAGTAACAACTAGTGTTATTTACAATGCAACTTCCGGTGGTAGCATGGGCAGTGCTTCGACTGGCAGCTCAGTCACTTATACCTACTGCAATGTGACCGTCGCCTATACGCATACTGGAAAGGGCGCTAAGGTAGTCCTCCTGCAAGTTTTACCGCAGCCATCCGATTTTAAGAACCGTTTCTATGTCGCCGACAGAGGCGGATTCTCCCTGTCCAGCTTCATTAAGGGAGGCCTTGCCTACGGCGCAGCTGGAGGTGCCACCGATGCGGGCTACGGTGTCTTCAGCAACAGTTACGACGAAGTTTCCCTATACGGAAGCCGGTCGATCAACTGGGACGCTGCGTACATGTTCGGATATCAGGCATTGGGGGAAATGACCGAGGTCGCGAATTAAGTATTCCATCGACCGACGATTAGTACGTGATCAAATTCGTGCAGCTGCTGGACCTGGACAACCTCTCCGACCTGGACAACCTGACCTACGACATCCTCGTAGACTGGATGGACACTGGCATGGACAACCTGCAGACGACACATCCGGACCTGACGCCGTTCTAGTCGTCGGGGGGCAAGCTGTTGCATTATCACGGCGAGTCGGACTTGAGCATCCCGGCCGCATCATCTGTGCACTACTGGCAGTCGGTGCAGTCCATTATGTACGGCAACCTGACGGACGACGCGGCCGTCAACGCCCTGCAGAACTGGTACCAATTTCTATTTGAAACCCGGCGCCGGCCACTGTGGCACCAACCAGCTACAGCCCGGGCCCTACCTGCAGGGCAACATGGACATCATGACCATCTGGGTCGAGAATGGCGTCAAGCTCGCCCGCCCCAACGCCACTGTGTCTTCCGGCTCGTTCGCCGGTGAGACCCAGATGCTGCGCCAATGGCCCACGCGCCCGCTGCGGCAGGGTAACAGCTCTTCATTCGATTGTGTCACCGACGAGGCCTCTATCGACAACTGGACCTATGCTTTTCCGGATTTTAAGCTGCCGGTGTACTAAGTAGCCTAGTATTGGGCATGCTTAGAAGTGGTGGTTATGTGTTGGGAGTGAATCTAGAGGGATAGAGGTCTATGGGAGAGAATGTGTTCTAGAGGCGTTTTGGGGATATACCAGCTCAGACAGTAAGGATCGTATCTTGATGTGTATACGTATAGGTAGCAGTGTTTACTAAAATAATATTCGCAATCTAAGAACGGGATCAAATAAAATACCACCATTGAAAAGTTGTTGGACTGAAAATATGAGCGCTTCTCACTTCCGCGTGGCAACTTCCCGCTAACTTATCTCGGTCAATGACTAGTAAGTGGCAATAGTATCGCAGGAAGTCAAGACTGGGTAATCCTTCTAGAGGTGTTACGAGAGCTTCATAGCGCAGTGGAAGCGCGCCGGGCTCATAACCCGGCGGTCCTCCGATCGAAACGGAGTAGAGCTATTCTGTTTTTAACGACCCCTTTTCACAGCTGATCGCTAATAAAGGACAATAGCATCAGCAGAGATTAACCCTGAACGAATAAACCATCACTCGAGAGCTTTGAGGCGCAGCGGAAGCGCGCCGGGCGTATAGCCCGGCGGTCCTCCGATCGAAACGGAGTAAAGCTATACTTTTTGACAATTCCTTTTCACAGCTGATCACTTCTGGAACCCAAGTTTTCTCCTGGCCTTCCTGTCCTCTTTGTATTAGGCACTGAACTATATAAATAACCATATCTACATGTAAGTGATAAAGCATAAAGGTAACTACCTTAGTTATGACGGAGTGCAACGATGACATTTGCAGTCACACCTGAAAGGCATATGTTATCGTTCGTGGAAAAGAAGTGATTTAATCTAATCTTTAAGTTGTGCTTGAACCATCTGGCATTGGTTTTTTTGTCTCAAATTTCCTCCCCGACTTAATATTTATTCAGTAACTGAAAATGAAAAGGGGTACGTGAACTATAAACCTCGGTAAATTCGGATACTCTAGATACCTTTTGTAAAGGTAGGCAATAGAAATATAAAACATATTAACTTATAATCCTAATGAGATTTTTTATCTCCCTACCTTAAGGAGCTAAGAATATCTATAGGGAGCTGCTTCGAAAGCATAGGAAGCAAGGAGAATTGGTAATAATCATAGAGTGTTTATATTTCATTCCTCTGTACCTAATCCACCAGGTTGGTATACTTCAGGTTGTACTAAGAGATAAGGAGCTAACCACCTTGGTGTTCTCTTAATGTAATGGGAGCTAGTAGTCACAGCATGTCATATCTTTGTCCTTCCAGAGACGGGACTTGTAAGATAAGGGAGAGGGGGTCATAATTTTTACTTAGATGATGTTTGCCCTAGATTGTTCTTCTGTACGATAGGCATCATCTTATTTGTACCAGGTAGCCATGAATATAAAGTCAGCTCTAACTTAACTTGTACTAATGATGTTCGATTTACGTTTATGCTTGAATCCTCTTTTATCTTTACACTTACACGGCATCAATCTAAACCGTCGCTTGTTGTAGAGAAACAAATTGTGGCTAGTGATGCCAAGAAGTTTGTTTTATATGTGCACCGCCACGTTTCTCTATTGCCGAAACAGGCCGCACCCCCGGAGAGATCCGTTATCCGTTATCTTTCCAATACCCGGTGTTCTAGACAAATGGATCTAGAAACTTTCCATGATGCTAATGATGCAATCGTATTTCTAAGCCGTTCATGGGTTCGGTCGGCATTTGATCTTATTAATCCATTCCTAGAGGGCCCCACAAAGCAAGTACCTAAGGGAAAAGGAGGAGAAAAGGGAAAAAAAAAAAGAGGAAAGAGAAAGATTAAAAAAAAAGAAAGTCCGATAACAAGATGCTAGACTCTTCAGGACCGTTAAATATACCGCGCTCATCAGCCCGGGGCTTCATCTGACGTCGTTTTTCTCCCATTCACACTTTCTCCTCAGATTCATACCAAGTTAGGTAACGAGGATCGTCGCTTAAGACTCTAGGTCGCGAATAAGAGTCTCATCCGGTCCAGTGGTATGACCAAGAGATTGCGTGCTCGCCCACGCAGTTGACATATTGTACCACCCACCAGAACTAAGTCGGTATCGGTATTCTCACCGTCATGGCCTCGACGCCCTGAATCATAGCTGAGTTCGTGGGGGTTGTCGCTATCCACGAGAGAGGCCGCATCTCAATTACGGCACAAGAACTAGTCGTCGACGCCACGTAGGGTTTATTCCGTCGTCGGTAAGAACCTTATCACTTTGACCTCGAGGTTTGTGGTACAGACAGGTGGGAAGCACAAGGTTATATAATAGCTGCTTGTCAAGTTTGATAACTTGTCAAATTGCCACCACCAAGGAACACCCCTATCTCTTGACATACCCCGAACCCTGCTCCCCAGGACACACAATACTTGGCGCCGATTCTCAAAACGTTTCGACGTACCTATCCTAGCCGTGGAACTTATCAGAAAAAAAGCTATCGTACCTAGGTACCTTATCAGGTTGTATATCCGCGAACCACTAAGCCTCAAACATGGGTCTATTGTACGTTACTCCTTGACTTGTTGTCGCAAAACTATTAACACCAATCACAGAGCCGAGGGCACGGCTCTTGATTGGCCGGACGCACAGAAATATGCGAACCAAGTTAGGGAATGGGGTATCAAGGTAGCTTCTTATTGCAGCCCGTCGCTGTTGTCGTGACCTCTGAGCTGACTCATGACAGCAACTTCTGGAAATTTGGAATAAGGCTAAGCACAAGGAGCGGGATGCGATGCTATGGGGTGACGAGGTATCTTGCACATTGTTGTCCTCTTACTCGCTGTCCAGAATTACTGACAAGCTGCATAGATAGAGTACCTCGTAGTGAAATATTCCAAGGACGATCCCAAAGTCCTCCTGTCGCTTCGGCAAGCCGATATCCTCAAGGCACTGGCGAATGATGAGGAACTCTCCGATAAGGGCGGATGTGTTCCGGCGCTCCAGGAGCTCGAGTCGCAGAGAGCAAATCCGTTGCCCGTCTTCCACCCTGAATTCGGCAGGTTCATGCTTGAAGCTACGCCGGGGAAGCCATGGGGCATCGGATTTAAGGAGCTCTTGGGTGTCGAGACAGATATGAAGAATAGGTAATTGGTATTTACTTTGACATAGACATGACATTTAGCTAACTAGAACTAGGAGGAGAATCGCCAAGGACCACATGCATCCCGAGGAATACCCCATCACTCTCACAACGTTTCCTCGTCTAGGTGTCCCCGGCGTCTTCACGGACCCTTTTTACCCCCCATCTGGGTCCAAGCTGCGGTCACAGTTTGTACCGGATGAGATTGCTAATCCACACATTCGCTTTCCCACCCTGGCAGCGAACATACGCTGGCGCCGCGGGAGGAAAGTCCAAGTGAACGTTCCGGTTTTCCATGACGAGAAGACCCCGAGCCCTTGGAAGGATCCTACCGTCAACTACGATCTTCACAACTGGCCAGAAGACGATGATGTGAGGAACGGTGCAGCTCCAGACAACTTCATCCATATGGATGCTATGGCGTTCGGCATGGGGAGCTGCTGCCTCCAGATCACATTTCAGGCCAAGAACATCACCGAAGGTAGACGGATGTACGACCAATTAAGCCCTATTGGACCAATCATGTTGGCTCTGACGGCGGCAACCCCGATCTATAAGGGTTTCCTCGCCGACACCGATGTGAGATGGAACCAGATCAGTCGCGCCGTAGATGACCGAACACCCGAAGAATTAGGGGAGAAGGTAAGTAACTCGCATGACGGATTTGGATTGCAAAATGCTAATCAACGCCAAGCCCCTGAAAACCAACCGCTGGCGTATCCCGAAATCTCGTTACGCCTCTAATTCCACTTACATTAGCACCGACGCACGCCTGCGGCCGGAATACTTTGACCCCAACCTCGTTATCGATGAGTCGATCAAGGCAGAACTTCTCGAAGGTGGCATGGACGACCGTCTTGCCACGCACTTTGCGCACTTGTTCATCCGCGACCCTATAGTCATCTTCAACGAGGACCTCAAGGAGCTCGACCTGACGAAGGCCGACCACTTCGAGAACATCCAGAGCACCAACTGGCAGCACATGCGGTTCAAGCCGCCGCCGCCGGGATCCGACATCGGCTGGCGCGTCGAGTTCCGGCCCATGGAGATCCAGGTGACGGACTTCGAGAACGCGGCGTTCGCCGTGTTCATGGTGCTGATCACGCGGGCGATCCTCAGCTTCGACCTGAACTTCTACATCCCCATCGCCAAGGTGGACGAGAACATGGAGACGGCGCACGCGCGGGACGCGGTCCTGGAGAAGAAGTTCCACTTCCGCAAGAACCCGTTCCCGAACCGGGCGGCGCGCAGCGGGGGCCCGTCGCGCGCGGGCTCGCCGGCGGCCAGCCGGCCGGCGACGCCGTTGTTCGGCCCCGTGGAGGACGAGCACGCGCTCATGACGGTGGACGAGATCGTCAACGGCTCGCGGTCCGGCGACCACGACTTCCCGGGGCTGATCCCCATCGTCGAGAGCTACCTGGACTCGGTCAACGTCGACGTGCAGACGCGCTGCGACCTGTCGGCGTACCTCGACCTCGTCCGCATGCGCGCCAGCGGCGAGCTCTGGACCGCCGCCAAGTGGATCCGGCATTTCGTCGCCAAGCATCCCGGCTACGCCCGCGACAGCGTCGTGTCCGACCAGATCACGAAGGACCTCGTGGGCGCGGTCGTCGATATCGGCGAGAGGGAGCAGCAGGGGAGGGGCTGGAAGGATTTGTCGGTTCCTGATGTCGAGCACCTGCTTGGTCGGTTCCGGAGTGCTGGCTGCGGAGGGTCTTGACCTAGGGTGTTGGCCTGAGTTATACATGCATGCTTGGACGAATGGGTTGTGGGGTCGGAACAGCAATGCGAAATGCGTTCAGTGGTTATGACTTAGCCGAGTGAGGTGCATACAGCTCGGGGCTCGAGCTGGAGATTCTTCTTTGCGTAGATTAGATACGTTTTCTACGGTTGTGAGTTGCTAAGCTCCTGCCTAATAGATTCAGTGCATTGCTGTTACGTGCAGAGCGTGGGTGATATTATCGTCCCTTGTGTGTATATCGATGAGGCGCCTTGGGCTTCTACGTCTATGTCTTAGCATGGGATTATCCCGTGTCTCGAGAATAAGGCCGCGGCCTTTGTGGTAATAGTTCTCAATTAAAATAAGATACGGTTACATCGATCAGGTCGATTAGGGATCCGTCTTTTTCCAACTGTCCACAACAGAAAAAGGGGAGCTAGTCTCGACGTCCTTCACTGTGGCATTCGACGAATCGAGTCGTTCCATGCTCTATTCATCCTCCCGCTTACGCTTGTTCTCGCCTTCGCGGAATAAAGTCACTTCCTGGCCCCCCGGAACCCGAATTACGCGGGCAACGTATTGGCGAAGGTCTTCGCTGTTCATCTTGTCGTCCACGAGCTCGTCCGTGTCAGAGTACTTGATGACGAAATCGCGCCGCAGCCTACGGACGGCCTTGTAGATGGAGCGCGCCCCGAGCTCCTTCTTGTACGACTTCTTACCCAGTGTCGTACATATCTCGCCGTCGTCCTCCAGGCGGATTTCCGCGCGGCCGATCAACTGCTTGCTG